TATCCTTGGGTAGAGAGCAATGACATCTTTCCAGTTTTCCCTTCTTCTCATAGAAAGCAACTGTAGCCAAAAATTCAGGCAGGGCTGGGAAGGGTGCTTGACTAGAAATGCTAATGACTTCACGATCCCATCTTCGATCCAGAGCCCACACCCCCTACCTTTGAGGGTCTGGGGCCTAAGAAGGAACGCCTGGCACTGTACATCTTGAACACCCAGGGGCTGGTTCCTGAGCATGTGGAGACCCGCACGCTATACAGTAATAGCCAGCCAGGTATCGACCAGGTATGTGACTAGAGAGGCTGCTCCTGACTCCTATGGACTGGAGTGGATCAGGAAGCGGGTGTCCATCCACCCAGGGCATAGTTCACAGGTCAACAACTCACATATGTGCACAGACAAGAGCCAAGTAGGTTTTGCATATTAGTAAGAAAGATGCTCCAATGATGTCACTTAGAAAATGTCATACCTGGAAAGGCTGTAAGAAATGGATGCTTCACAACTGCTGCGGAAGCTCTAGGGGATCCCACTAACCACTAGTACTGGTTTTGCTCTCCTGGGGTGTAGGGAGGTGGCATCGTAGCTCAGAGGGTGCAAACACGCCAAAACCCAGTTCTGGCTGCTAAACTGCAAGCTGTCTTCTCTATGGCAAGGAACTAAGGACACAGATCCCCAAAGGCACCTTCGTTATCCCTCATTGTCCAACTATTAAAAATTGCTCCATCCTTCCACAAATCTTTCAACATTCATGAAGTCTTCTGCTAAGCAATTTTTAAAATAACCATCCTCATTTAACTTTCTCAAATGGGTCAACTTGGAAGAATAAAAGTAGGTCAGGTGGCTGGACAGGCAGAACACACTTACCTATTTTCCAAGGCTGGTGGTGCCACCCTTCCCCCTCTACACATCATTTTTCCACCACGTCTCTCAGGACCCAACTTTGTGGCCAGCTTAATATCATTAGGTTTTGGTCACACAACACACAATGACCTTGCTGACCATTCAGTTTCCTTACTGAAGGCTTCCATGCTGCTGAATACATGAGACCCAACCCCAACACGGATTCCCCCATCAACAGGCATCAACCGAGCATGACCTCCTCACTACTTACCTCCAGTTCCTAAGTGAAAGCTCAACACCCACTCTCGGTCTCAGAGTTAGCATCCTTCACCCTAGCTCATTTGGCTTCCCAGTCAAAAACTAAAGGAGTTGGCAGGGATCTCTGTGCCCTACCCCTGGGTGGTGAGAATACAGCCTCATCCAAGCATCAGACCTCATGCCACCTAACTGAAGAGAGACCAGCAACCTCCAATCAGCAAATCCATTCTGGCTCTAGGGAAAAATACAAATGTGGGTGGACATCTTCCCCAAGAAGCTGGGGCCTCCTGGTTCCCCAGTCAACATCAGCCCCAGAAAGCCTAAACGGTGAGTAGGTGAGAGCCCAGTTCCTAATCATGGTGCTCCAGCTCAGCCCCCGGGGTGCAGGGAGCCTCTGCCCTCCAATCCCAAGCAGTGGGAATTCTTTATCAGGCTTAGAAGGAGCTTTCCTGTCCAAGTTCAGGCTCTCTGGGTAGCTCCTCCCTCTGCAAGGCTGTGGCTGGGAGTCTGGTCCTCAGCCCAGCCTCAGAGCACAGTGGCTGCAGGTATGAACTGCGCTGCATCATCTGGAGGACCACCCAAGTGGACCTGGTTCGCCGAACCTTAAGTAGAGAGAAGATGAGTGACATCTATGTCAAAGGGTAAGGTGGGGGGGGGGACTCCAAAAGGCCCCATAGTTACCTGGTCCTGTCACCCTACTAAAGCCTCCTCGTCCTGAGAGAAACATCTCTCTGCCACCACCGTGTGTGGTGGGATGAGGCCCACCTAGGAACCCCAGGTAAGAGGACTCTGCCCCAGGTGGCTATTTGGGCTAGAGAAGGACATGCAGAAGACAGACGTCCACTACCACTCCCTGACTGGGGACGCCATCTTCAACTGGAGGTTCATCTTTACCATGGACTACCTGGCGACAGAGCGTGTGTGCGTCCAAAGCCAGAAGGTAAGGGATAGGCAGGAGAAAAGGGGGAAAGAGCCTTAGGGTCCCAGAGATTCACCCTAGTTTCAGAGACCTGCAAGCTGTGAAGGGGTGTTAGGAACATGTCCTCAGGCAGAAGCCCTCTTCCTTGACAGTCTGTCATTACTGACTAGTCAACTAATGGGTATCCAAGGGAAATGTCCATGAGGTAAGACATTAACACAGCCTTCTGCTCTCCTCCAGGACTACATATGGAGCCTGGATCCCACATCAATGAAGTTTCCAGCCCGGCTCATCATCCAAATATGGGACAATGACTTCTTCTCCCCTGATGACTTCTTAGGTGAGGTCCTGGTGTAGGGTTTGTGACACAGGATAAACAACTCCTCGTGTTGATGATGGCCTTTCTCTGAGCTCAGGGGTCTTGGAGCTGGACTTATCCGACATGCCCCTTCCGGCTGTGAAAAGCAAGCAATGCTCCCTCAAGATGATGGAAACTGACTCCCAATGGCCCTACGTGCATCAGAAGCATATCTCCATCTTTAAGAAGACGAATGTAACTGGATGGTGGCCTTGTCAGGTCCACGATGGTGACAAGTGGCGTTTGTCGGTAGGAGCTGGGGAAGGTGTTTAGTAAGACCACCATACCATCTAACCTAGCTCTCGCCAACTTCTAGGACCTCAGCCCAAGTTCCTTTCCTTTGGGGAGGTAAGGAAGTGGTCCTGAGATGACCTTGCCTCCTGCCCCTTTGTCTTTGACATCTCTAGGGTAAAGTGAAGATGACTCTGGAGATACTGCCAGAGAGGGAAGCTTTGATCAGGCCAGCCGGGCGAGGCCAGTCAGAACCCAACCAATTCCCCAAACTTCACCCTCCTGTGTAAGGGCCCTGTGGGGCAGAGGCACCGGCCCTTTCCTCCTCCTTTGTATAGGGTGGTGACTGGTGGGCCTCCGTGTGGAAAGGGACAGTTACTTCCTCCTACATGGCTAAGTTACAGTCAGAAATAAGACTTGGAGTTGGGTGTAAAGGGCTCTGGATAACTTGACTGAAGGCTCCTCTTTGCCTTCCATTCTCTGGCATCTACTGTCATGGGCAGACGAAATGACTCCTCTTTCTTGTGGTACCAGTCACCTATTAAAAACTTCTGCTATGTTTTCTGCAAACGCTACCGCTCCAAAATCATATGCTTGGTGTTGATACTGGTTATAGGGACAATACTGTTCAACTTCATCTACTCAGCTCCGGTGAGTGCTAAACACTGGGGAAGGGACAAAGGCACAGGCCACTCTTGTGTCAGCTCTCAGAGTACATTTAGGTTTCTACTTTAGGCAACTCTGGTGTCTCTTCTCTCTAGAACTATTTGGCCATGGCCTTGATCAAACCTCAACTTCGGGTGAAGCCTCCCATTAAAATAGTCAACATCATCGGTTCAGTAAACACCAGCAGTATCAACTCTTCCATCTTCAAAATGAAGGGTTCAAAACTATACCCTTTAAAAGACAAAAGGCCGATATTTCTCCAAGGACCCAGGAACCATGTGAAAGATGTCATCCCTGAGATCTAGGTGACCTGACTTTTCTCTCACCTGCCAAGCACCCTGTCCCTTGGGCTTCCCAGCAGATCCTTGTTTGAGTCTTCTAGGACATGGCCGAAGGGCTGTGCATATTCTGACACACATGTTTAGAGACCACTTCTAACAAGAGCAGAGCTGTTACTTTTCTACTGAAATAAATACATTTTTCTAATAAAGCTACCTTGGAATTTGGGGGTTGGGATTAAAGACAGTGTGAAAGGCTGGAAATGCCAGCTCTTTATTTGAGACATGGGGAATGATGCCACATTAAATCACCCCATCTAGTCCTGGATTTCTTCTATGTGTGAAGATTTTGACAGAGAAAATAAGAAAAGGGTAACTGTGAGTTGGTTGTCTACTGGGGCCACGGCTTTTACCCAAGTCTGAGCACAAGAGCCACATCAGGGACCAGGTACCACCCCATCCAGCACATACACACCCTGCAGCTGCAATGCCCAGAAAAATAGCCTCTCTAGCCATGGGAAACATTTGTTTCTGAAACAAAAAGCAAGAGCTGGGGCAGGATATATGATGCTGAATGGGTGGTTTTCTTGTTTGTCTTTGTTTTCTGGGGGGAGGTTTCTCTGTGTAGCCCTGGCTGTCCTAGAACTTCCTCTGTAGACCAGGCTGGCCTTGAATTCAGAGACCCACCTGCCTTTGCCTCCCGAGTGCTGGTATTAAAGGAGTGCACCACCATCACCAGGCAAGGGTAGTTTTCTTATACATTTCTCAAATGGGAAAAAACTAGCTCCCAGACTTTGTGGGGACCACAGGTCCTGTCTCCTGACCGTCTTTAACAGCATTGGGTGCTCATGAGCAGGAATTACAATACCTGACTCACCCTGTCTCTCACTCCTCCCATGATAAAATCCTTCATTCCCACTGCTGTGACAGTCATCTCAACGGCCCACTTAGGTCCTCTACTACATGGGCCCGCCCACCCTCCCTTGGAGATGGACAAAACTACCATTTCTTCTCAGTTCTCCTGGTCCTAAGGCCAGTTTCTACACTCCAGTTCAGCCCCTAGCTCCAGTATTCTGCTACTGTGGGAAGGTGTTAGGAGGAGGCACTCTCCACTCCACCTTTATCTCTCCTGCAGAAGGGCAATGTACTATCCTGCTTAATTAAGCACACGGGAAAGACAGAGGCCTGAGAAGATGAACACCTATCTTCAGTCAGGGTGACCCCTCCTCCTAGTCTGAGGGATGAGCATGAGGGCTTTTCCAGCACCCAGGAGGGGCAGGCTAAGAGCTGACATTCCTGAGGCTCAGAAAAAAAAGGCAGAGCCTCCCCACTGAGCCTCCCCTAGAAGGAGGTCACTAAGCTGAGACTCATGATTGGTTCCATTAGTCACTTTAAGAAATTTCCTTGGGCGTCAGAGACCCAGAAAACTCAGTTTCAGGCTCTCCAGGGAGACTAGCCTGTAACCAATTTAATCACAGCGCAGATATGTGAGCAGCATGTGACATTTGTAGAATAAGGCAGTATAAGGGTAACACACAAGACGGCACTCAAGCCATGCTGCTCAATGGTCAGAACTTTTCCAGACACAGAGGATGAAGGTCTTTTGCTCTGAGATTTGTTACGAGATCAGCAACAGTTTCTTCTCATTAAGAAGCCAAATCTCCTCTGGGGATCCCATCCAAGTCCAGGGAATAATAAAGCTGCATTTCACTTCCAGCACTCACAGCAGGGTCCCAAGAACCATGAGAAACAAAGCATGCAGCTAAGCAGGCTCCAGTGGCCCAGAGACATGCCAACACGGCAGAGGAGACCGATGCTGCCTTCTGTGGCACATCGGACCTGGGTGACATCACAATAAATCTCACGGCTCTGTGAAGGTATCCAAGCTTCTCTTGATTTGTAATAACTGTTAACTAAATGATCCAAGGGTCTGAAGAGCTCTGATTAGGAAAGCTGAGGACACAGGGACAGACAGGAACAAGGTTCGCCCAGCACAGAACAGAGGCTGAAGCAATGAACTAATGCAGAAGGCCCAGGGCTGCCTAATGGGAGCAGCAAACTTCTTTCCTAGCTCAGGATGCACACGAAGAGAACAATGAGTGAAGGGAGACAGAGAGGCAGTTGTGGCAGAAGTCTCCATCCAGATTGCCAAGGAGCTCCTCGAGTAGACAGAGGCAAGGGCAAAAGCAAAAGCTAAGAAGTGGTTTTCCAGGTTGTATGAGTTCCGGTTTTCTATTCGGGAATTTAAAAATGAAGTAGAAGGTCTGCTGCATCCAGTCCATGCTTGGGGTAGCTATCCAATTCTGTAATTTAGGCATCACAATATATAGTTTTTCCATGTCTCTTCACTCCTAAGTGGAAGGATTCCGGGAAAGGCACATCACAGCTGCTCAGCCCTATGGGTGGCATCTTGGGCCAGTGAGATGTTCCCGTGGATGACCATAGGAGTGCAGGATCACTGCCCCAGTGACAGAACACAGTCCCTGAACAACTGGCAGCTCAAACAGGCTTGCCAGGCTGTGTGCTCAGACCCACACCTCACAGGTAAACATCGTAGAGACCGATGGCAGCAGGCTCAGTAGAAGCGTTTTCGGCTCTGGTCCTGCCATTTGTTGTAGAGTATGATACCAATGACAATGGCAAACACAGAAAACACCAGGGAGAAAAAGACGATAAGAAAGAGGGCGAGGCCACTCAGGGGTGCTGGTGGTACTGTCACTGAGGAAGCAGAAGAAGAAAAACAAAAACAAAACAATCAGAGAGATGGAGCCCATCCTACAATGGGTCAATAGGCTATCCAGTCCCTGGTTTCTGACGCCCACTTCTGGGGAGCCAAAGCCCTGATCCCCCTTTCCTGAAGGCTCAATTAAAAAATGAAGCAGCCCACCTGCTGCTGCTGGCCTGTAACAGGACAGGAGGAAAGGTGATGCAGGCATCCCATGTGCCTCAGTGAGCACAGGAAGACCAACCTGACAGCTGTGGGTGCCAGTCACCCCAGAGTACATGAACACTGCAACCTCATCCCTGACCCTGGGCCATTCCCCAGGACCCCACACTCACTCTCAGGCAGCTTCAGATTATCCACTGAGGGCAGGAAAACATCTCGATGCAGCTTTTCCTCTTCTGGGGTCCTCACCCCAGTCAGCTCAAACAACTTCAGGGAAATGACATCATGATTATCTAGAGGAAAGAATACAAAGGATTGCTCCAGCTGCCTCAACAAGAGGGCCTTTGGAGTTAGTACCTTGCCTCAAGCCTCTGATCCAAGATCCCCTATCCACTGACAGCAGTGGCCTGAAGCAACCTTGAAATCAAAGTAGAAAGAGAACTGTTTCGGGGCGCATGGAGACTAACGGAAGGGAGGTGGAAATGAGACACGGTCATGGGGTGTGTGGGGGCAAATTTGCATGTTTCCTCATACAGGGCATCTACATTTAAACACAGAACACGGATGCAAGGGAGGATGATCTAGGAGAGGGAAAACTAGCAGGAGGGGCTAGAAGACAGGGTGCTGGGGCATGAATATGAGCTAAGGAAGGGCGATGGCATACATGGATCAAAGGCCACATGAGCCCCTGTGATGGTGCATGCCTATCATATCAGCACTAACTAAAAAAGAGAGAGGCCACGTGTGGTGGCACATGCCTGCAATTGCAGCACTCGAGAGGCAGAGTCAGGAGAACTGATGCACATTCAAGACGAACTTGGTCTACCCTTGTGAGACTTAGGCCAGCGAGGGCTACACAGTGAGACTATCTCAAAAACAACAACAACAAACCCAACAAGTACAAAGCTTTTTTTTGAAGTTAAAGCTCATTATTTTCTCATCTAAAAGAGTAAGGATGCTGGGCAGCAGTGGCGCACGCCTTTAATCCCAGCACAAAGGAGGCAGAGGCAGGCGGATCTCTGTGAGTCTGAGACCAGCCTGGCCTACAAGAGCTAATTCCAGGACAGCCAGAAAAATGCAGAGAAATCTTGTCTCGAAAAAAACAAAAATAAATAAATAAATAAGGAATTAGATATATTCTATGTGTTTTACTGACAAATATATATTACTTAAAGTAAAAGACTAAAAATGATGTTGAAAATAACTGGGGTTAGAGAGATGTCTCAGTGGTTAGGAACACTTGCTTGAGGACCAGAGTTCAGTTCCCAGCTCCCACATCAAATGGGTCAGAACCATCCACAGCTCAAGCTCTGGGGAATCTGATGCCCTCTTCTGGCTTCCATAGGCACCTGCATACACATGTGCATACAATACACATACGCATAGACACAGATAAAAATTTAAAACCTTAAAAAGTATTGAAGATACTTAAAGCCTCTATCTACATTAAGACCTTTTAGTAGTAAGAGGATACAGCAGCACCACAGCTTCCTCTTGGTGGAGCATAAGCACACACATACACGTAAGGGCAGACAGGAGAAATGGTCTCCACCATCTGTTTAAAGGGCCTTGGCCAGGGCAGCATAACTTGCAGGGAAGATGCTGCCTTCAGACACTGTTTCTTTGTGACTGAAATTCGGACTGAGATCTCCCTAATGCTACTAGAAAGGAGATCAAGAAACTAGAGACTAGATTTCTCTCTTTATGTGCATAAGTACTAGCCTGTAAGGCAGAGTTTGGCCGTGCAGCCCGGGTTGGCCTTGACTGATGGCCTCCTGCTTCAGCCTCCTGGGTACTGAGATTATTATAGCTGTCCCATACCATACCCAGGCCTTACTTCTCTCCTTTGTTTGTTTGCTTGCTCTCTGCTTGGTTTTGGTCTTACTATGTAGCCCAAGGCTGCTGGTCTCAAACCTGTGACTTTCTCATCCTAGCCTTCTTAATGCTGGGATTATAGATGTGAGCTCCTGTACTTGACTTCTCTTTTTTTAAGTTTTGTTTTGTTTCTTTGGCTAACTTGGTTTGGGAATTTTTAGAAATTTGTTTGATTGGTTCATTGCTTGAGACAGTGTCTCTCTATATAGCCTTGGCTGTCCTGGAACTCACAGAGATCCACCTGTTTCTGTCTCCTGAGTACTGGAACTAAAGGTGTGTGCCATCACATATGGCCTCCTGGCTTTTCTCAGAAGTTCTAGGCTTGTACATTTCTTGTGTCAGATCTGGTGCCAACTGATTCTCAAGGAAGCTCTGCTCCCTCCAGTGGGGGTTGATCTTCAGTGCTGATTTCCCTCGAGCCCCTGGATTTCTGATCATTTCTGGAAACATGGCCACAGCTCCTTAGTCTGCTACAGCCATCAACAAATCCAGAGCAGAAGAAATTGCCTTCATCTTCATTTGGAAAATGTTTTTGCTGTCAAAACCTGTGAACTACAGGACAGCATAAAAAGCCAGCGCAGGCCAGGTCTGGCAGCACACATGTAATCTCAGCTCTTGAGAAGCTGAGGCAGAAAGATCCCGAGTTCAAGCCTAGCCTAGCCTACATAGACCCTATCACAAAACAAAGAAACAAAATTTCACAAGAAGGTACACAGAAAATGGATCTTCACTTTTTCCTTTTTTTGAGGCAGGGTTTCATTTTGTAGCTCAGATTGGCCTGGAACTACTAAGTAGCCCAGCTCATCTTTCCTTCCTTTCTTTCTCTTTATTTATTTATTTATTTATTTATTTATTTATTTATTTATTTATTTATTTATTTGAGACAGGGTCTCACTTTGTAGCCCTAGCTGCCCTGGAACTCACTATGTAGATCCTGCTGGCCTTAAACTCAGAGAACAGCTTGCCTTGGCCTCCTCCTTTTTCCTCTCCGTTGCCCTTCTCTGTCCTTCCTTCAAAACAAAGCCAGGGCAATGCTCTCTGCAGTGTATGGACATCAAAGCCTGGGACAGCTGAGAAATATTTGAACATTCTCAACAAGTCTTTGAGTAAGAAAAATGGGGCCGGGCATTGGTAGCGCACACCTTTAATCCCAGCACTCAGGAGGCAGAGGCAGGCGGATCTCTGTGAGTTCAAGGCCAGCCTGGTCTACAGAGCAAGTTCCAGGACAGGCTCCAAAGCAATACAGAGAAACCCTGTCTTGGAAAAAGAAAAGAAAGAAAGAAAAATGAGACTATCTACTCTAGGTGTGATGGGGCATGCCTATAATTCCAGCGCTCAGAAGGTGGAGGCAGGTTGTATCACTAGCTCAGGGCAGGGTACAAAACAAGACTATCTTAAAACTAAAACCTGAACAAACTACAAAAACAACAAAATTGTACTTCTACAGGTTCGAAGTTTATAGATTTTTTTTTTAAATTGTCTTCCTGGGACAAAACTAGGTGGAGTGTTGGATGTCGGTCAAGGAAGGCAAGGGTTTCAGAGTGCTGTGAAATGAGCTGAAAGGTGGTCAGAGAATGAAGACCAGGCACTCTGCATGGCAAGGAGGCAGACGCTGCTGTTACAAGAGCAGCACAGATGGCAAGGAAGAGAGACGCAGGAACAAGCACACCTCAGCGGGCACATGGCTAGCAAACTGGACACGTGCTCCATTCAAAAGTCTGAACAAAGAGGGACCAGAGGTTGGTTAGGAGAGGGAAGATGGAGCCAAGGAGCAGCTCTGTGAGGAGAAGGGGAACTGGGCAGGGCGAGAAGTCTGACAGTAGGAAAGGCCGGAAGAGGTAGGGAAGCAAGGTGCTCATACAGGCTGGAAGAGCTGCCTAGACAAGGGTGCATGCACTGTTTGCATTAGTTCCTGGATACAACTGATTCAAGAGAGCCTGGATTGGAGCTTTTACCGGATCTAGACAAAAACATACAGCATTCTTAAGCCACATGCATAGCTTCTCATAGCTCTTTCATCTGGCTCTCCTTGGAGAAGGCCTCACCAAGCCTTGGGTGCCAAGGGGTCAGCTGAGGCAAACATAAAGCACAGTGCAATACCAGAGAGGTCCCCAGTGATGGAGGAAGTGCCGAAGTAATAGCCCCGGGGAAGACGGACCCCAGGCATCTCAATGCAGTCCCTCCACTCGTGTTTACCATCGATATCCATCATTATCTAGAACAAAGGAAAGATATATCAGGGCCAGGCCACAGGAGCAAAGGTAGTGCATATCACCAACTGCTTCAAGACAGGACTCACCGTCAGATGCCTCTTGACATAGCGAATCACGAGGAAGGTGTCATAGCGGAGATTTCGAACAATGGCTGTGCAGCCCCCCAGCTCTGTGGGCCGCCCATCCCGCTCATGATCATAGCTGAGAGAGCCATTGTTCACCATGGCTGAGATGTAGGGGAATACCCGCTGGGACAGGGAGGGAAAAGCAAACAGTGAGGAGAGCTCTTAGCAATGCCTGCATGACAGAGAGAGGAAATGAGCCCCTTCTGGATGAGCAGAGCAAACCCCCTGCCTCATCTTAAGCACTGCCCCCAGGACCCACATACAGATGATCACGCAGGTGACATGGACCCAGGAAGCACTGAACTCCACACGATGTTAGTAGTTCTCCTTGCTCTAGACCTAGGGTAGACCTGAAGTGGCCCTGCAAGACTCTGGAGTTTGACTATTCCTCCCAGCAATCTCATACTAGGAGTTTCCTTTCAATGGACAGATACCTTTTTCCCCAGCTGTGCTTGAAGAAAAGGAAAATCGTCTTCCAGGTGTCCACTTCAGCCCTATCCCTCTGCCCAAGCAAAGTGTTTTACACACAACAAGTATTCTGAAAATACCTGCTTGAGTGGGCAGGGAAACCTTTCCAGTCTGGATAGCTCTTTTCAGACTCTAAAACCCTACCAGCGTATGATGCTAAATGAAGTAGGGCCCAGAAAGCACTGCTGGGGCAGGCTCTGGGTGGGCTTATGCAGCCACTTTTCTTAGTCAAGACTTTCAGCCCATGTACACATAACTTCCAAGAAAGCCGATAGTCACAGGGCAACATCCCCCATAGAGGAAAACTTAAAGGTTTCCATGTTACCTACTTGGGTTTCCACTACTTAAGAGGTGCCTTCCTCCAACAGAGCTGTAAAAGCAAACTCTTCCTCAGAACTGATGAGCTAACCATTCCAGAATAATCCCAGCGCAAGTCAACGCAGCGGGGCGGGGTGATGGAAGGGGAGAACACAAGGCATGCTATGCCGCTCCTTGGACAAGCTCCATGCTGTCCCAGTCAACATGCAAGAGGGAAATGTAGTCAAGACCGGAGACTTGGAACTCCTGAGACAACAGTCAAATGGACCCTGAGCAGCAAGAAATGTTGGGTGGACATGTAAGAATATGGGATGACCGGGTACCTGGACTCCTGGAGAATAACGCCTCTTCTGGGCCTGAGAGGGTCCAGCAGGTTATTACAGAAACACGATAGAACATAGAACACAGGAGACCAAGTCAGAAAGAGACAGCCTGGGAAGAGCTGTGACCCTGCTGTAGTGGATTAATTGTCAACCTAAATCCCTAAACAGAATTTTAGGGTCCACGAAGGGTACTCAGCAAGTTCTTGAAGCTCTCACAATCTACGTCAGAATGCATGCACAGGTGCTGACCCCTGTGTGGGGCTGTCTGGTGCTATCATCAGATTCTCAAAAGAGTCTACTACAAAGGCCTCTTTACCCCATGGAAGGACCGGGGGCTTTTAGCAGTTTATAAAACACAACATCTTGCACTGCCCAAACACAACTGGGTTATGTCTCCCAGGCCACTGTATTTCTATAACAATGGTGGAGGGGGCAAACAAAGAATGATCTCTTTGAAATCTGAGATGTCTTGTACTGCTCAGGGTCTCAGGATGCAGCTCTTACCCAGAAGACAAAATTCCCACTGTATGAGACCATGAAATTAACTCTAATCCAAAGGGATCATTTACCCTCTAATTGAGCCTCATGGACATACAACTGCTGTCACTCTAACCTACAACACGGGGGCAGGGTGAAGCTCCGTGGGAGCGCAGCAGCGTAAGATTTAGAAAGTCACTGGGCTCGAGGGCACTTTAGCTTTGCCTCAGCAGAATTTCCACAGCTCAAACCAGCACAGGCTCAGCTCAGCCTGGTTCATGGAGGGTAGGAGAAAGGGAATCCCAAAGCATTCATTCTTCTCATCCTTAGTGAGCACCTATAATAAGAGCCAGTACTGTTCAAAATGTTGGGGTCCAGTGGGAAGCAAGCGGGACTCATTTCTGCTCTCATAGAGCTAACCCAGAGTCGGAGAGACAGAGAACACGCAGATAAACAATTTCAGACACTGACAACCGTTATGATGAAAACAAAAAAGGCAGTATGGTGGATAAGGCAGCACTGCTCTGATGGGACCCAGGTGGTTAGAGGGCTCCAACATGTGATCTGATGGGAAAGAGGAAGAGGTCGGCATCCTGAGAACTCACAGAAGACAGCTGTATAGAAACCGGCTAGTGGGAAGAGGCTGGTGTAAGACAAGCACAGGAGACAGTATATCAGCCTCTCGGATAGGGGTGTGGAGTGGAGACGCCAGAGCAGCTTCCCTGATGTTGTAAACCACTGGCAGAGCATACAGAGGACCCCGAGAGGCATGTAGTCCATCCATGGAGGACAAGTCACCATAAAGTTACTCTTGTGCAACTGTCATTTAGATCAAGGTAATTGCCAGCGTGTTATTAAGGTAATTAACAGAAATGGGATTCTGAGAAAGCTTGTAACTTCAGTGAACAATTAAGGAAAGGAAGGGATTAAAAAAATGCCCTGGGGTGCTCTGATGACCCCAAGATTTGCTTCTTTTATAACCTCTAATCACAAGTTTAATTTAGAATTTTAGAATGCCTAGGATGGCACTCCTTAGTCAAGGCTGCTTCCCAAGCTGGCATCTGATTATCTAGCAATAGCCAGATGGTAAACTGTGCCCAAGTCAACCAGAGGAGCTTTTCATCTTTACACATACAAGGGTACTCCAGTTAAAAAAAAAAATCCACAGTATTCTATAGAGTGGGATTCATTCTTGTTTTTGTTTTTTGAGGCAGAGCTTCACATAGCTCTGGCTGGCATCAAACTCTGTGTAGCCAAGGATGAGAGTCATCCTTGTTTCTCATTTCCCTGTCTATACTTCCCAAATAAATGCTGGGAATAAACAATGTGCCACCACACCCAGTTTCATGGTGATCAAATCTAGTACTTCCTGAATGCTATGGAAGTACTCCAATTGAGCTATAGCTTCAGCTTCAGGGAGACCATGACATACAGTCAAAATTAAATACTGCACTAGATGACACTGAGCCCCATAACCCCAAAGCTACAATCTATCTGTTTTAGCAATCCACACTGTGCCTTCAACTCTTAACCTCACATAGCAGTAAGTCACTGAATGCCAGTTCATTTTCTGCTCTTAGAGTTTTTAAAGTGTTTCTTGCATAGCCACTGATTTCACAAGGCAGCAGATTAACAGCCCTACAGCTAGAACCAAACTCTGAAAAACCACACCAATTTAGGCAAGGTAGGAGTTTCATTCCTAGTTTCCAAAAGTTGTACTATGGAGCTACTTGTGGTTTCTAAAGTGACCCTCTACTACTAGCTAGTTTTTGTTTTGTTGTGCTGTGTTTTTTTAAGACAGGTCCTGAACTTGCTCTGCAGTCATGTGGGTTCTGGGAATTGAACCTGGGCCCTCTGGAAGAGCAGTCAGTGCTTTTAACTACTAAGCCATTTCTCCAGCCCCTTACTTTTTTCTTTCTTTCTTTCTTTCTTTCTTTTTTTTTTTTTTTTTTTTTTTTTTTAGACAGGGTTTCTCTGTAGCTTTGGTGCCCATCCTAGAACTTGCTTTGTAGATCAGGCTGGCCTTGAACTCACAGAGATCTGTCTACCTCTGCCTCCCAAGTGCTGGGATTAAAGGCGTGCGCCACCACCGCCTGGTCACTCGCTTTTCTTAATAAATCAACTTTTACTTTGCTTAAGGAAAAAAAAAGGATGTTCGTAAAGAAGCTGGGGATGTACCTGAGATGGGAGAGTGCACAAGATCTTGGGTTGGACGCCCAGTGCCACATAAAACTGGGCATGGTGGCTGGCACATGCCTATAAATGCACAGTCCTCCTTGGTTACATAGCAAACTCCAGGCCAGCATCATATACATGAGGCCCTGTTTCTCCCTACCATCACTCCAACAGGATATTCAAGAACTTTTGGATTGGATTTATGGATTCTATGCTAAAATCTACAGATCCAAAGCACATAAGTTGATCACCTAACACAAAAGAGCACAGTGGGTCTCTGGAGGCTGAGATCTGGGTCCTAACCGTCTCACATGCTTATTAAAGCTACACACCTTTGGGTGAGCTATGTGACCTCTACATCACTATTCTTATTGCAACCAGGGAGAATGATGTGTGCAGCAGCTCACAGGATGAACTATGGGAAGATGAGATGGGTGGACCACTAGGCATAGTGGCTGGCATTCAGCCACTTAACAGTTAAATTAATGAAATTTTAGATTAGACATCGTTCAAAGCCAAACATTCATGATTGAGGGGAGTAATTTCCTTGGCTGACACAGACCACAAAAAGGTCCAGAAACACTTGGATGTTGATAGGCTCAATTTTTTTTCCTTTTATAAAACCATTTTACAAAAGCACATTTTAACACCAAAAAAATGAAGAACTATGTAACTTCCTAAAACACACTCAAATATATCTACACAGGAATTCACTTCTCTGCTCAGAATTTTGGACAGCACCCGAGTTCACTAAGTAGAACAAGGGGGCACTTCACTTACCAACCTAAGCCTGCCAGGAACTGTTAGTATGTTCCTGACACTCTGCAGCTAAGACGTGAAGACAAGGGTGGGAAAAGGGAAGACAAGAGAAGGCGGCCACAGCAGCTACTGCCAAGATGTCTGCCAAATGTTCCTGATGAATTCATTTAGTGGAATAAGCAACAGCAGCGTTTACTGAGGACTGAGTCTTCAGGGCACTGTGCTCAGTGATGGATTTACATGATTCTACTTAGTTCCCAATCCTACCGGTCAGTACTAGTATCCTCATCTTTAAAACTACATTTATTTGTCTTACAAGGAAAGGGGACAAATGTGTGCCACGGTGTGCACTTTGAGGTCAGAGGGCAACTCGAGGGAGCTAGTTCTCTTCTTCCAGCCATGTGGGTCCTGGAGGTCAAACCTGGACAGTTGAGCCATCTCTGATCCAGTGTCCTCAGTGTCCTCATTTCACAGGTGAGAGTTCTCATCCAAGACAACACTGGAATTCAGGGCTGCCCTTAAGGTCTAAAAGCTAGTAATTCCACTCCACAACTCCAACTCAATCCCAGTGCAATACTAATGTGGCCATTGATATTTTTAAAAGAGGGCGGTGGTGGCACACGCCTTTAATCCCAGCACTCGGGAGGCAGAGACAGGCGAATGTCTGTGAGTTCTAGACCAGCCTGGTCTACAGAGTGAGTTCCAGGACAGCCTCCAAAACAATACAGAGAAACCCTGTCTCAAAGAAAAAAAAAAAAGCGCTGTAGTCAAGTATGGTAAATACGTGTGAATCCCAATTCTCAGAAAGATTGCTGTAATTCAAGGCCAGGGGAAGATACAAAGTAAGACCGTGTGTATTAAAAAAAAAGTTTCAAATGTCCAATTTTTAAATAAAAGTCAGGTCTGTAAACAGTATGCTTGTGTACCCTAAAGCACAAAGACATATGTAGAGTGGTCCCAGATTAAAGACTAAGAGAGAGTTGGCCAGTGGGGAAAGGCACTTGCCACCACACCCGACAACCAGAGTTTGATCCCTAGAACCCACAGGGTGGGAGAGAGCCAACTCTGGCAAATTGACCTCTGACCTTTCCCATGTATGCACCCACCCCCCACGCAAAATAAATGTGTTTTTATTTGTTTGGTTTTTTTAAAGAAGAGATCTAACAACTCAAAAACTTAAAATAGGACCTGGGTTTTCTTTTACTAAAAAAAAACTTAAAGAAGCATTTGGCAAATCTGAGTTAGACCTGAAGATTTGTAACACTGTGCTGGTTTTTTTGTTTTGTTTTATTTTTTTTATGAAAACACGCAAGTATTTAGGCCTACGGAGGCAGTACCAACAATTACTCTTGGGTAGCTGAAGAAAATAAAATGCACACGTATGAGCAAATGTGGGCCTGCAGAGGCACACGAAGGCCACACACAGGCTGGGGGACAATGAGGGACACGGCTGCAGTCCCACTGCTGAGGACGAGGGACATGGCTGCAGTCCTGCTGCTGGGGGACAAGGAACACCACTGCAATCCCGCTACTGGGGGGGAGGGGCAACGAGGAACATGGCTACAATCCCGCTACTGGGGGGACAACGAGGGACACGGCTGCAATCCCGCTACTGGAGGGGGGGACAACGAGGGACACGGCTGCAATCCCGCTACTGGGGGGACGAGGAACACGGCTGCAATCCCGATGCTGGAGGGGAGGGACAACGAGGCACACGTGGGGGGGGGGGGAGCAGCACTGAGGCAGAAAGAGTACCTGAGTCCAGAAGGTTGATACCAGCCTGGGCAGTATCAGAAGAGTACATTCTAGGACTCTCTAATGGATTAACAATCTATAAACCTAAAACTTTTCTCAAAGATTAATTTGAATCTACTATTCATACTCTCGGGCTCCCAGATTTTCACAATTATGTTTTTAGACAGTTGCTACACGATTTGACATTTTCATTTATAAAAAGATGTCTGTACAGATTTGTCTTTTTTTTTTTTTTTCCTGTTCTAGATTTTCTGTAGTAACAGAACAAATGGCTCTTCTACTAAATGCTGCAAGGAGCCAAGCTCCTCCCAAGGCATGCGAATAATCTCTCAGATAGGGAATGCAGCACTCGATTCACTTCTAGCTGCACCTGTCCCTCCCCAAACTGGGCACTATGGTACTCCTTAGCGACCCTTTGTGCAGGAACCCACACGGAAGGCCTCGGAGTAACTGAGCAGTGCCCATGCCACTCACAGCAGGTGACAATCAGGCAAAGTCTCACCACATGACCCCACCAGCTCCAAACCCCCATTAACCTCCCACTCAGTGACTCTGATCTCTCTCAGCTCCTCAAACTTAGAGAATGGAACAAGTGGTGCTTCCAGGTCCCCTAAATGACACTTACACTTGAACTTCATTATGAGCTAAGAAACTGGGGGGGAAAATGGAGTCACATCTAAGTTTTATAACAAGAAAACTTAAGATGTCAGAGTTCCTTTGGAAAAGATTCCCTCTGGAGATGTTGCTGGTGCACGCCTTTAATTACAGCACTCAGGAGGCAGAGGTAGGCGGACCTCTGATTTTGAGACCAGCTTGGTCTACATAGTGAGTTCCAGGACAGCCAGGGCTACACAGGGGAAACCCTGTCTCAAAAAAAGAGAGAAAGAAAGAAAGAAAATGATTCCCTGGGCCAAAAGTAAAAAGATCAGTGGGATTAGTTTCTTTATTAAGGACTAAGGGAACACATGGTATACATACATGTGTGCTTGTATGTCTGTAGTACTAGTGTGGGGGGGAGGGGTAAAGCAGGGGGTTAGGGACTGAGCCCAGGGCCCTCCACATTCTGGGCATGACTTCTATCACTATTTCCTCAGCTTAGAAAGTGTCTTTAAGAAAAGTATTAATTTTCTTTCAGTTAAAGGGAGGAAAAATAAATACATACATGTATATAGTTATATAGATCATGGGGGAGTGCCTCACACACTACTTCCAAGCTAGCTTAATCAGGGCAGCCTGGAAAACTACTCATTTCACTCCCCAGCCAGCTGCTTCTATCTCTCGTGGTTGAGGCTCAAACATGTCCCAGACAAGCATGAGGGTCAAGCCTGCCAACAGTTCTCTTCTTCCTGGAAGTCTCTTGACACCAGACTCTGATTTCAACTGAATGAGGACATCTGTGCTCCAAGGGTGCTACCAAGTTCCCCACAGTGCTCACCAACATCTGGGTTCACATGCAAACATGTTCATCAGTGGGCAGGCTGAAGACCAAAAGGTGCCAAAAGACAATGGACTCATCTTTCAGCCATTTTCAAATCAACAGCAACACTGAGACATAATCCATATATCACTCATGGGTTAAGGTGATGATTATCATAATTTCTGAACATTTTTATCACTCTGTGACTCTGTGCCCACTGGTAGTCACTCTCCGCCTCCCAAGCTAAGAGCCCCAGCCCTAGACAACCATTCATCAACCTTGTCTCTGTGGATCTGGCGACATTTCATAGAGATGGGCTCACACAACAGGGAGGATTCTTGTGACTGGCTCCTTTCTTGTAACCAAGTCAGTCATACTGGAACCCATGGCAATACTTATTTTATCACTGAGTATTTCAGCTGATGAACATCTGAGGTGTATGTCTTGTCTGCTGTGAACCTCTTGTATAAGCCTTTTCATAGATGCTTTTATTTCTCTTGGCTATACATATACAAGTGGTTCACAGGTTAACAGCATCTCTACTGCCGGGCATTGGTGACGCACACCTTTAATCCCAGCACTGGGAGGCAGAGGCAGGCGGATCTCTGAGAGTCTGAGACCAGCCTGGTCTACTGAACGAGTTCCAGGACAGCCTCCAAAACAATACAGAGAAACCCTGTCTCAAAAAACCAAAAAAAAAAAAAAAAAAAAAAAAACCAAAAAAACAAAAAAACCCAGCATCTCTACCTTCAGCCATCTGAAGAAATGCCTGTTTTTCAATTCTATCATTTTACATGTTACAAGCAGTATATGTGGGTTCCAAATGACATCACAACCTTTCAACATATACTTGTAATTCACTTGTATTCTAGTGTCTAAAAGCTTCTCTGAAAGTTTATGATGTAGAACATCTTTTCATGTTCACTGGCCATTTATCTTCTTCAGATAAACATCTATTCAGATTCTTTGCATATTATTTTACTGGCTTGTCTTTCAGTTACAATAGTTACTTATATAATAATTCTCTATATATTCTAGACGTGGGTCTTTAGTAAGACTTGCATATATTTCCTCCCATCCTACAGGTGATTTCACTTTCTTGGTGTGCACTCAGTGCTGGGGCCTGAATCCAGGGCCTTGCACATATGAGGCAAATATTCTACTGAGCTCCAACACTGGTCCTCCTCCTCCTCCTGATAGTGTGCCTTGAAGTATGAGCTACTACTTTAAAAAGTTAATTTTAGATTTATTTTATGTCTGAGTGTCTTCCTTGCATGTGTGTCTGTGCACCATATGCATGCCAACAGAGGTCAGAAAAGGGCATGGGATCTGCATAACTAAAGTTATGGATGGTTGTGAGTCACCATGTGGGTACTGGGAACCGAACCCGGGCCCTTTGCAAGCGGACCTGTTGCTCTTAACTGCGAGCCATCTCTCCAGTCCCAAGTTACTATTTTGAGGAAGCCCAGTGTGCCCGTGCTTCCTTTTGCCATGTTTGCTTTTGTTACCATGTCAAAGAAGCCTGTGCCTGGCACCCTTGTGCAGAAGAGTAAACCACACCATTTGTTTTAGCCTCTGAGACATGGAAAAGAAGACAATTTTCTACATTCTCTGGACTTAAGAGTAGCTCAGAGAACTGAAATCACATACATGAAATTACTTAATGTCTCTTCTCTCAAGAAAGAAATCAACAAACAGGAAGACAATGGATGGGTGGAGGGAAAGCACCAGAACTGAAGGAAAGCCTCACAATGGGTAGTTCCTAAAATGACTGCGGCCTTGAACAAGACAACTTCTCTAAGCGTGTTTACTCACTGGTAAAGAAAAGAGGGGTCACACTGTGATTGCTTTGGTGCTGACCTACAGCTCAACCACTCGGGCACACAGTCTCATTGTGTCCAATGTGCCCAAGAGGGAAGAGAATGAAGTCAAGAGTGCGGCTCCCAAGTATGCAGCACGACAAGGCTGCTGGCTGCTTTTCTTTCTAGCCTCTATCTGATGCTCTGCATTTGCTTGTACTCCCTGTCCTCTCTCAGAGTGCCTTAACATATGCTTTCCCTCGTCATGGAACACTGGTCCTTAGCCTGCAGACTCGGTGTGAATGTTATTTCCTGGAGGAAGGCTCTGTAGTCACCACTACTGCCCCATCATGGTTAGGTACGTCTGTTGTGTCCTCTCAGAGTGCCCCAGAGTCCCCACAAATCTCCACACTGCAGGGCACGGAGACTACCCTGGTCTTGCTAAGTCCCAGGCCCTGGCATCTAACAGGAGTGTGTTGGGCCAGGAACAAAGAGGAGTCCAGAGAACGGACCCACAATAGAAGGCTACTCACCTAACGCAGCTCTCACTTTCCAGCTCCTCTAAAGTGAACAGTGGGAAATTCTGACCCTTACACCTGAGTGTGGCATATACAGTGGTCATTGTACACATTTTAAACCTTGCCTGATAAATCTTTGGGGGAAATAAGTGATCTCCATCTCCATTCTCAACCCTGCCCCCTGTAGGGTGCCCAGTAATAACATCATCTTTCTACTATCTGAGGGCAATGACTCAGGAGAGAAGATCCAGTCCTGTGCCAATATAAGAAAGTACTAGAGAACCCCCAGGGACAGTTAATAAGCTCGGTGATAACTAGACATTAGGTTCCATCAAGATATTAGAGTTGAGGCAGGCGTGGTGGCCCCATTTATAATCCAGGACTCAGAAGGCTGAGGATGAAGATTGTTATTAGCTCAAGGCCAGCCTGGGCTACACAGTAAGACCTTATCATGGTTTCACCAACTTCTTTTTACTTACATGCTTTCTTATAAGTGACAGGAACTGCTGCCAATGAAGCTAAATATGCTAGAAAGGGTGAGCAAGTAGCCAAAGAGAGTACATGGTAATGATTAAAAGTCCGGGGCCCTCATCTTTTCCCTTGCTCTGGCCCTAACCTAGGAGCCAAGACACCACCAGCTGCATGTGCTCAATTCCAGAAGCTACCTCACGAAACGAGTAAGAACACTGCTGGCACTATAGAAACAGCGCCCAGGGCAATGTTGTTCCTGAAGGACTGCTGGGATCACAAACACTTCTCTCCAGAAAAAAAAAAAAAAACCTGCCAAGGACATTAACTTTGGAAGGTGAACAGAGGGGGCCTCACTGTCTCTCCCATGCCCTCCTATACACTGCTCCTGAGGGAAAGAACTGTGAGATCAGCATGGCTGCCCTAAGCTCGCACTCGCCATTACCTCTTGCTGCTTCTCCTCATTGGGATAGGTGTCTACAAACACTCCCAGCCCCACAAATTTGTCCATGTTTCCAAACACAGGCCCTAGAGAGAGAGAACAGATGATGAACAATGACATAAAGCCAAGAGTTGACAAAGGATAATATCTTATATGACAGAGGAAAAAGTGGTATTCAAATGACTCTCAGGCATTTCCTAAGATGAGCACACACAACACATAAAAGCACCCAGCAAAGTGCATGACCTACAACTGAGCCCACTGAAGCAGCTATCGTTGTTTGTTCTGAAGGCAGGGAAAGAGGGAAGGCTACTGTAACCTTGTTTGGTACTACAGTAGCTCCCTGATCCAAACTGGTTGCTAAGACACCCCTACCTACAGAATTCTGCTTCACAAACAATTGGTAAAGATTATGTCCCCAAGAGAGAACTGAATTCCCAAGTTCTAGCTCTTGTTGCAAGAGATCAGGTCAAATCAGGTTCAGCCTGCCATCCACTTGGAGCACTGACTCCAATAACAGCAAGGAAAACAGAATTCTTCTCTTAACTCAAGGGCTGAGATTATTGAGTGCCAACGTCCAGTGTTCACAAGAGCCAGTGCATTCAGCCAGCCAATGGCTAGGCTTCACAGAAAAAACCAACAAACAAGAAAACATCACAGGATGAGCCAAGTTCAGACTGCTTAGGACTCAAAACCCCAGTTTAGAGACTCAGTAGGTTAATGTTCATTTACAGACATCAAGGGATCGAGAAAACTAGAAGGGCCTTCTCAAAAAGAGGGCACAGGAATCAACAGGCCTGCTTCACCCATTCCGGAGCAACCCAGGGTCCCTAATACCTGGCTGCATTCGATCCTTTGTGTACCAGATTGCCAAGCCGTCTCCATGAAGATTCTTCTTCCCTTGTCCATGGATCTTGAAGTGCACCTGTAGTTCCCAGTCTTTCAGGAAACATGGCTAACATGAGGAAGACAGAGGCAGGCGTAAGTGAGGAGCATGAAATCTGAAACCCATAAAGCCCGCAGGAGCAATCTAGAGACTTGGAAAGCAGCTTTGGTAATGAGGCTAAAGTTAAAATGAAATCTAAGACTTTGCAAGTACTCCTGTCATAAAACTAAACAGACTGAGCCACTCAACCATTTAAGGCACTGGGTATAAAAGGTAAATAAACCACCTGATTGTTCTCACACCTTCCAGCAGAAACAGGATAGTACACACGAGCTGGAAAGGCATGTTAGTCTGCCATGATTCTACATCTACCCAGAAGCACACCTCCGCCAACTAGGTAAAGAGGGTTGACTTAATACTTAACTGAAGATTATTCCTCTGAAAGAAAGACTCTAAAAAGCTGGGCTTCAAAGAAAGGTCAAAGCCTCTTTCATTAAAGAAAAAAAAAAAGGGGAAGAAAAGCTATGTATACACAGAGGTTTCCAGGGATAATTAGCGGATGCTATGAAGAACTCTAATTAGGTAAAGCCGGCATTTGGCCAACCTGAGGGGCAAGCCTAAGTTACAATACCCCAACCCTTTGTGCCAATGGTCAGAAAGCATTAAGGTGCCAGAGTCAAATACTATCCCCTTCAACTGAGATAGCCTCTTGAGGGTGGGGGAGCATTAAGGTGCCAGAGTCAAATACTAACCCCTTCAACTGAGATAGCCTCTTGAGGGTGGGGGAGCATTAAGGTGCCAGAGTCAAATACTATCCCCTTCAACTGAGATAGCCTCTTGAGGGTGGGGGAGCATTAAGGTGCCAGAGTCAAATACTAACCCCTTCAACTGAGATAGCCTCTTGAGGGTGGGGGAGCATTAAGGTGCCAGAGTCAAATACTATCCCCTTCGACTGAGGTAGCCTCTTGAGGGTGGGGGAGCATTAAGGTGCCAGAGTCAAATACTATCCCCTTCGACTGAGGTAGCCTCTTGAGGGTGGGGGAGCATTAAGGTGCCAGAGTCAAATACTATCCCCTTCAACTGAGATAGCCTCTTGAGGGTGGGGGAGCATTAAGGTGCCAGAGTCAAATACTATCCCCTTCGACTGAGATAGCCTCTTGAGGGTGGGGGAGCATTAAGGTGCCAGAGTCAAATACTATCCCCTTCAACTGAGATAGCCTCTTGAGGGTGGGGGAGCATTAAGGTGCCAGAGTCAAATACTATCCCCTTCAACTGAGATAGCCTCTTGAGGGTGGGGGAGCATTAAGGTGCCAGAGTCAAATACTATCCCCTTCAACTGAGATAGCCTCTTGAGGGTGGGGGAGCATTAAGGAGATGGGTGTCACTCAGACTTCTGTCCAGTTTTGGAATTGTGTACCAAAACCTTATAAAAACAGAGAAGGTAGTGAGTGGCTGGCTAAGTGTTCAGCACAGTTACAGTGTTTTCTGGAGAAACCAGGGTGAGTACAGTATTTGGTTGAGGGAGGCAGCTAGTTAAAATCTGCTGGGAAGAAAGGAGGGAAGGGTTCAGCTGGGCTTGGCCTGGTTCAGCCAAAGGGTTTCCAAAAGTCTGTTCCGGACCTTGAGCAACACATTGCTTGATCACTTTCAGTTTTTTGTTTGTTTTTAATTTCTGGAACATCATCCAAAAGAATTATAATTAGGAGTAGAGTCAAAATGAAAAGAGGTTGGATACTTTCACATCACTGGAGCCCTGATATTTCCAATAGTCTGCCCTATTCTGTCTTTTTATTTTGGGTTATCTCTCTGCTATTTCATTTAGTTTTCAGGGCAAGAAAGATTTCAGTGGCAGAAAGCTGTCTTGTAGCCAGGAGCAGCATGACAGCCCTGGAAGAAGGCAGGGCCAGAGAAGTGAGTCAGGAGGTATTTGCTGTTAATTCTTGGCCTTGGGTATCCCAATGCTATATAGTTTTTCTCAGGGTGATGTTTAACAGTGGTTCTGAAGCTTTGCTACATATTTGAAAACCCCAATGACCTAGGTAGAGGTGGTGGCTCATGCTTTTAATTCCAGCACTAAGGAGCCAAAGGCAGGTAGATCTCTGAGTTTGAGGCCAGTCTGATCTACAGAGCAAATTCCAGGATAGTCAGGGTTATAAAGATAAACCTTGTAGTGGGGAGAAGAAAAGAAAACTCAATGACCAAATTGCACCCTATTCCAATTAAATCTGGAGTGGAATCTAGCCAAATTTGAGAACCACTTGCACAAACCATATATCCTATTCAGATAGCTCAAAAATAATTCCTTGGTTCATTCTGTTGCAAATACAGGCATCAGAGAATCTTATAAAGTATTAATCCTTGTACACAATAATTTAATAACTCATGAGAGCCCATCAATGCAACTAAGAGCAGGTCTAACAAGAGCATATATTTCTGTTACCCTTGCAGCAAACTTTCCAACAGTATTATGAAGTCAATTTAACAGGTGAAGACACAGAAAACCAAGAGGCTAAGCGACCTGCCCAGGGCTCATGGTGGCTGGGTAACCAAACTGGATTTAGAATCCAAGTCAGTCAACTGATTCTGACATGTTCTGCTAGGCCCTATGTTGAGCTCAGCACTACAATCTAGGTTACGGGCCAGCCTGTCCAGGTGGCTCACAGAACAAGTGCTCTTACCCTCTGCTCCTTCAGAACTCTTGGTTAGAGAACATGAGCAGGGAAAAGAAAGTTCTCTTTTATGGGACCCATTCACAGCATCTACAGCTAATGAGAGGGAAACCATGGGAGAGCAGGATCTTCGCGCCCCACCCCTCTATTTATAGGAGTCAAGGAGAAAATATCAATGGATGCCAAAGTCGTCCCTGAAAGTAACATGGTTTAGGAAGGACCTGGAAAGTAAGAAGAACCTGGAAAACGAAAAGGATCCTCTTACACTTGCACAAAATCGCAGTGCAGCCATGCCAGGTGCTCCCTTCTTGCCATCATAGCGCAAGGAAGACAAGGTAGGTAGAAAAGGTTCAGAGGGCAAACAAAATGGCTCCCAAAGTGATTTTCACACTGAACAGAAACGTAAGCTCTTGACTGAAACAAGGGAAGGCTTCTAGGATCAAGTTTGGGATATAGGTATTTCCTAATGCTTATTAACATTTATTATTTAGTGATAGTGTTGCCCAGGCTGAGATTGAATTTCCGGGCTTCACTGACTCCCCTGCCTTGCCCCCCTCAAGTAACTAGAACTACAGGTGCATAGCACCATATCCAGAGTAGAGAGGTTGAATCACAGGTTTGAGGCCATCCGGAGCTATTGCCAAGTTCAAGGACAGCCTGGGTTACATTGTAAGAAACAAACAACAACAAAAACAGTAACGGCAACAAAGCAAAACAATGGTTTTCTGTTTTACAAAGTAATGAAATAAAATTTAAGCTGTTAAACCCCAAGATCTGGTTATGTCAGGCTAATGAGAAAAAATAATTATTTGTTCTAACAATAGGGCAACAGAGAAATATCTGATTTCTTTATTATGAAGCTATTATCTCTGAACTAAAGACTTTTACTTTTTTAATGATTTATTTATTTATTTTTACTTATGTGTATTGGTGTTTTGCCTGCATGCATGTCTTTGTGAGGGTGTTAGATGCCCTGGAACTAGAGTCACAGACACTTGTAAGCTGTGGGTGCTGGGACCTGAACCCAGGTCCTCTGGGAAGAGCAGACAGTGCTCTTAACTGCTGAGCCATCTCTCCAGCCTTCTACAGACTTTTATTATCCTTAGAAGATGGAATGCTGGGAAAGCCTGTAAATGAAATAAACTCAAAGTCACTTCTGAGCTTTTTTTTTTAAGGACATTCAGAGTCCTAACACAAGAAGCCTCTTACCACCCGATTCCACAAGGCACCCTGTTTACTTTGCATATCTGGAGTGAGGCGGATATACTGGGTCATCACCATGGCATTGCCCATCAGGTTCCACAGCGAAGAACTGCTGGTTCCCACACCTACGGGATGGAGTACATCAGTTCATCCTCTTCATCAGTTTGCACACAAAGTCATCACAGATCCTACAAAAGTTGCCGTCATCATCTTTTCCTTTAGGATTAATAAATAAATCAGCCCAGGCTGATCTCAAATTCCTGGGCTCAAGCAATCCTTCTGCCTCAGCTGCCTGAATTCCTGAGACCACTGGTATTTGCCATCCCACCAAGCTTCCTTTAGCCAAGTCTTTCGGGTGAACCCAACACACCCCTGTCATTTAGGCATGGCACAGTAACCACAGTTCAGATCTGTTCTTCCCATTTGATGTGTGGCTGAACTCTAGCACCGTGACAGGACGAGAACTTTCTCACTTATACCAAGAGATTGACCCTCAAAAGCCTGTGGGCTTAAGCGTAGTCTTTTTTAAAAATCAGTCTCTCAAATGTGAAGCTGATTCTCCCCCCAAGTCTCTCGGACTAAATAGCTCCAGGTTGAAAACCAGTCTAACGCATTGTATCAGCAGGGGCCAAGGCTAAGGAAGGTACTCGATATACCTGCTAAAGGAATGACATTTTAGTAACAGCGTATAGCTTTCTGCGGTTTGAATCTTGTTTTCTGCACCCCCAACCGCAGCTCTGTGGGAAAAACAAACTCGTATTGAGCTATCTGCACTAATTTCTCTTCTTTGAAGACACCTGTGTCAATTTTCTGGCATCGAGCTGTGCTTAGAGACCTAGAAATCCCTCAAGAGAGCAAAGCTAACCAGGCTCTTTCATCATCAGAGCTCGCGGCCTGGGATGGAGCAGGTGTTCTAAACAGCAAACAGACTTTTTTCCCTCCGTTCTCACAAGTTCTACCCGGGTTCGTTCTCCTGCTTTATTCCTAGAGCAGCCACCGCTCCATGCCGACATGGGCTCATCGCTAACGGTCCTCGATCAACCCACATTATTGTTCTCAGTTCTCTCTCCCTCTTATACTGTTGTCCAACTCCAAACTCCTTCCTCTGAGCCTGACACTGGTGACATCTAAGAGCCCTGCCTAGACCTACTAGAAACTTCCAGTGCTCGGAAAGGGACGGGGCTGGGGGCGGACCCTGTCCTTAGGACCTGTGGCTCATCAAAGGAGCGGGAAATCCTCGGGGGCGTCCCCTGCCGTTAGAGGCAGCGACTCCGGGTCTACCCTGACCTGCGTCGCCGAACTTAGTACCCATGACCTCCCTGGCGCGACCACCTCGCCCCGGGCACCTCACCCTGGTAGGGCTTCGACAGCGAGTGCTCGCGTTTCAAGTACTCCACCGCTTGTCCCGCCCTGACGTGCCACGGCCCCTGCACAGACCCCAGCAAAAGGAGAAGGAGCAATAGCCTGGCCCCATTCCGAGCCCATGCGTGCAGCCGCCACCGCTGCCACCAGGAGGGTCTCACAGTCGCCGCCATCTTTCCCACCGCCGGCCCTTCATCAAAAAGCCCGCCCCATTGCCCAACCCATTGGCCTACAGAACCATCGGCCCGATCTCCCATTGGTTCCTGGAGAGTCCCCGCCCCCGCAGGTGAGTATCTCACCGATTGGCTGCCTGGTAGCAGTTGCCTTGCCAACCCAGGCAAGGGGCGTTGCCGAATGCCCAGAATCTTTTTTTTTTTTTTTTTGCTTTTGTCCTAGGCTTCATCAGGCCTGTTAGTTACAGTGCTTCTTACTTTGTTTCTGCGCTCTGTAGTAAATTTAAAGCGATAAGACATTTTTTTTTGATCCCAAGCAAATGTTCGGTCGTCACTGCCCTTTGTATTTACCTGACCGCCCAGCTATCAGTCAGGAAGACAAAGAAATAAAAGGAGCAATAGACAAATCCGTTGGTAAAGGACCTGGCCTAAGATGTGGGGGAGCATTAGGTAGTCCCAGCACTCTGGAGACTGAAGCAGGAAGATGGGGAGTTCAAAGCCAACACAGAGAGCAGCCCAAGTAGTTCATTAAAATGAGACAGCTAGCAAGTTATAAGATGTATAAAAGACTAAACGAGCACTACCAACCAACATCACCTGATGGCATTTATAGACATGAAATGTTTGCCAAACTGGGGAGGAGAGGATTGAAAACAAACGAACCATTCCCTTTCCATAGCCTTTCCATAGCTTCTGTCATGCCACAACAACCTATATACCACATGGCTTCATCATATCGTTATTAACCAGCCCTTAAACCATCATCTTCAGGAAAGTGACAGGAGCCGCTTGACTGGGCACATAAAGCTGTCTGCCTTCTGGCCCTGACCCTCCCCCAGAGCCAAACTGCCCACAGAGTCCTCATTTCACCACCGTCCCAGCTTCCTCGCCTGCTGCGGGCTCACTTCCTAGTCTTTCAGAAGCTAGCTTCCTCTTACCCACTTCCTCCTGGAGGCTTTCCTTGATTCTCCCGGGCCAGAGCATGTGTGCCTCTCTGAACTCTGAATATGTTCCACGGATCTGTGAGATCTGTGTCTACATCTTCCAATAGACGTAGTCAAAGATAACACTCTCCTGAGCGTGAGTAACCAGAAACATGCTTCGGGGAAGACCAGCTTTTACCGATGATCCTGTACAAACTCCACCCAAAACAAGATGACGTTCGGACTGCAGTCAATCTGTTTATGTCCATACCCTGACTATAAAATTATTCGTGACCCACAATGGCCATAGGATAGAATCCCAGTCTTCCCCCTAGTGTGGCAGTCAAAGCCCTTTACAACCTGATCAGATCAGTCTATACACAGCTCTGTTATAATGGATGTCACTGGAATTATGTAACTCAGTTAACAGATGTTGCATTCATGTTTCCCTTTCAAGGAATGTAGCTAATGGGCCCCAGGGAGCAGCTCTTACTCATTTCCTATAGCAGGCCCCAAACACTTCCCCACTCCCTAACCTTTATCACCACTACAGAGTAAGGGTTCTAGTGGTTTTGAAGAATTATTTCCACTGTTTCTGTAAACTAGATTGCTTGCATTGTGCTTGAATAATAAAATTTAACCTTTTATTACTTTTGTTTATTAGACTAGCCTATTGCTTTGGGTTTTTCCCCCTCCTTGTGGTGTGTGGATTAAACCCAGACCTTGCCCGTGATAGGTAAATGTTCCACCATTAAGCTATATCTCCATCCCTATTTCTTTCTCTTTTTTTTTTCTTGCACTATGGGGGAATCAAATGAAGAGTTTAGTGCATATTAGACAAGTACTATACCACTAAGCTATGCTTCCTGAACCCCCTTTGCCTTTGAGATAGGGTTTCATGTAGCCCAGGCTGGTGTTGAACTCACTATGTAGTCTAAGGGGGGGCTGTGAACTCCTGATCCTCCTGCCTCAGCCTCCCAAATGCTAGGATTACATGTGTGAACCATCAGGCCTGGCTCCAGCCCTCCATTTCTAAGTATACCATGCACAGACTTAGTAATATGAATTCGTGTTGCACAGCCATCAGCTAGATTTCTGATAGATTTTCATAATCAGAGCAATCAAGGGATAAGGCAAATTAGCAGGCAAGGTGGATTTAGTGGCCAGTAAACCAGATGCTTTTGTTCAGGTTATTGCAATAGTGAGACTGCTCACTAATGATGAAGATATCAAAAAGAAATGAGGCCTGGGGTTTTAGGGAACAGATAAGTGGGGGCTTCATCATGAGGAAGGATGAAGGGAGAATGTCTTACCAGAATTACTCTGGAAGGATACGGCAGTGGCTTACACCTGTATGCCACACTCAAGAAGCTGGGGCAAGAGAATTGCTACAACTTTGAGCCCAGGCTAATTCGTGTAGCAAGTACCAGGCCAGCCAGGCATGTACCTTGTATTCCAGCCTTGGTAGACAGATGCAGGTGGATCTCTATCTAGTGGTCCCAGGCCAGTTGGGGCTATAGTGAGACCCCGTCTCAAAAATCATTATCATCATCATTATTCAGTAAAGAAGTGGCTTTTATTTTGGACTATCCTATTAAAATTGCCATTTTTCTGAACAGGAAATGGTGGGGGGGAGCACAGAAAGATGAGGAGCTGCCTTCCAGAAGAAGGGCTCAGATCAATCAGCACAGTCAGAGTGTTGAGTTGTGAAGGGAAACAGAAGAGCTGTGATGCCCACTCACAAACTGCCTTGTGACGGATGGGTCAGGTGTTGACCTACCATCCTTTTTGCTGCCAGACATTCTTTTTTTTTTTCTCCATGGAATCCCCTCCCATGATCTAGGGCTGCCTAACTCCAGGCTAGGCAGCATTTGTAAAATGTGGTGCATTTCATCAACTCCGATGATGCCTCCTTTTTTTCTTGGTCTTCTGAAACAGGGTTTCTCTGTGTAGCCCTAGCTGTTGTGGAATTTACTTTGTAAACCAGGCTGGCCTCAGACTCAGAAATCAGCCTGCCTCTACTTCCCTAGTGTTGGGATTAAAGGCGTGTGCTACCACACACAGCTGGGAAAGATTGTGTCTAAGTCACATATTTGAGTCTCCTTATAACTTTTTAAAGTCAAACCTGATCTTCTGATACGTTCATGACACCTGACATTCTTGCTGTCTTAGCAGTTTCTCAATATAAATCAAGATCCTGTTGGGGAACCGTTAAGAACACTGCCTCTGCCTGGGTGATGGTGACGCACACCTGTGATCCCAGCACTCAGAGGCAGAGGCAGGTGGATCTCTGTGAGTTTGAGGCCAGCCTGGTCTACAGAACGAGTTCCAGGACAGCCAGGCCTGTTACACAAAGAAACCCTGTTTCAAAAAACAAAACAAAAGAATACTGGCTCTGTAGAGGCCCACAATTGGGTTCCCAGCCTGCCGTGGTGTTTCCCAACTGTCTATAACTACGATTCCAGGGAATCTAATGTCCTCGTCTGGCCTTCAGGGGCACTGCACATATGTGGTACACAGACACAGACCGGCAAAACACCCATACACATAAAATAAAAGTAAATAAATCTTTAAAAATAAGAACTTGCTGGGCAGGCTGGAGAGATGGCTCAGAGGTTAAGAGCACTGATTGCTCTTCCAGAGGTCCTGAGTTCAATTCCCAGCAACCACATGGTGGCTCACAACCATCTGTAAGGAGATCTGGTGCCCTCTTCTGGCTTGCAGACATACATGGAAACAGGATGTTGTATTCATAATAAATAAATCTTAAAAAAAAAAAAAGAGCCGGGCATTGGTGGCACACGCCTTTAATCCCAGCACTCGGGAGGCAGAGGCAGGCGGATCTCTGTAAATTTGAGACCAGCCTGGACTATCAAGCAAGTTCCAGGACAGCCTCCAAAGCCACAGAGAAACCCTGTCTTGAAAAACCAAAAAAAAAAAAAAAAAAAAAGAACTTGCTGGGCATAATGATGCATGCCTGTAACCCTGGCACTCAACAGGATGAGGCAGAAGGAAGGCCTCAAATTGAAGCCAGCCTTGGCAACAGAGTACATCCTAAGACCTTGTCCCAAAAATTAAAAGTTAAAAGAAGGAAGAAAAACTAATTAAGAGCCAGATGTGGTGCTATATACCTATAATCCCAGAACTAGAGGTGGGAGGATAGCTGTATTGGGCTACATTGCAAAAAAAAAAAAAAAAAAAAAACGAAAAACAAAGGGACAAGCCAAACATGGTGGCAGACACCTTTAACCTCACCACTAAGGAGGCAGAGGCAGGCGGATCTCTCTGAATTCGAGGCCAGCCTGGTCTATATAATTAGTTCCAAGACAGCCAGAGCTGCCTCAGAAAACAAAACTTAAACTAAAAACAAAGAGATGAGGATATAGCTTAGTGGTAGAGGACTTGTCTAGTATACACAAGACCCTGGATTCAGTTTTTAGCTTATGTGCACGTGCACACACACACACACTTACACTCACACAAGCACACACATGTAGAGGGCAGAGAAGAGAAGGAGGAGGAGAATGAGGAGGATAAGGAAGAGAAAAGGGGGAAGAGAAGAAGATTGTACCTCAAGGGTAGAGTATTTGTCTAACATGCTTGAGATCTTCCACTAATTAAAAAAAAAAACAGTCTGGGTTTATGACTTAGTTGCTTCCTTTAGTCAAAATTAACTCATAAAAATCAAAGTCCTGATGGCCAGACCTCAGCTCTGCGGAAGCGGGGCTCCCACAAATTAGGGTCTGCCTCTAGGATCCAGATATCTGCTTGCTACAGAGTCAAGGCACATGACTGATAAGCACTTGCAGAATGGGGCAGGAAGAAGAGCTCTGTCATGTGCAAGTTGGAGTTAAATGCCTTTTTTATTTTTAGATTTCTTTCTTTTTGTGGGGGGATTAAGACAGGGTTTCTCTGTGTAACAGCTCTGGCTGTCCTGGTACTCACTCTGTAGACAAGACTGACCTCAAACTCACAGAGATCCGCTTCCCTCTGCCTCCTGAGTGCTGGGATTCAAGGCATGTGCCACCACCACCCATTAATCTATTTCATTTTTATGTATATGAGTGTTTTACTCAAATGTGTGTTTGTATACTGTGTACATG